ATTGGTATTATAGCCAAGACAGACTCCGCCAAAATAAAAAAAAAGTAAAAAAATGGATCCTTGGCGTATTGTTTTTTTGGGTGGATGGGTCTTGGGTATTTTTTAATTGAGCTTTGAGAAAAATAACACCAGTCCACCCCGAAAGAAACAACGGCCGACAGGAGGCGTTACACAAAAAAAAAATACTGTTAAAAAAAATAAGTTAACAGAAGAAATTGGGGGTTACTAATAATGAAACATAACTCTAGGTTCACCGCGGGAAGAAAAAAGCACAATTTTCATATGCTGAGTTACAGTCCTTAAACCACAGATTGGCCGAAGCCATCAAGATCAGCAAATCCAAAAAGGAGAAAACCATATAAAGGCAATATCAAAACACCGGAATTGGAACAATACTCTGCTTCAGCCTTCTCCGCTCCAACCACATACATAGCGCATTAGGCTTCGCTCTTTTTAAAAGTTCACACGTGCATCCTCAACGTTTAAAAAAAAAAAAACAAAAAAATAAACATTTATTTTTAACTACAGTACAAAAAATTTAATTTTTAAAAAAAAAATGTATATTTTATTAAAAAATAAAAAACAAAAATCCAACTTCTTTTTCAAAAATTCTAAGCCAATCAACATTTCTAAGCCTCACAGCTAAATGTTATTAAAAATTTATAGATGGCATTTTAACTCTTGTACGTATATCTTTTTAAAACCTTACTAAAAATGGTTTCTATTTTTTTTATTTAATAGTCGTGACGTATTTTTTTATTAAAAATAAAAAAAAATTATACTTTTCTTATCTTAACTCCTTGTTATTTTTAAACTACTATTATCTCCAGTTCTCCTATATTATTGATGTTTTTTAATCAAGTTTGTCTTATCTAATTTTTATTTGGAATTTTTTAAAATTTCAACTTTGATTTTTTTTTTTTTTGTTTTTTCAATCTTCATTTGATATTTACTAAATTCCCTCTACCTCATTTTTCTAGGATTAATCTAAATTTCTCTTTCTATATTCTTATAATTTATCTTCACATTTACACTTAATTTTAATTTTAATTTTTTTTAATCTTTACCTTATATGTCTATTCTCTTACTCTTAATTTTCAATTAAGTTATTTCTTTTTTTAGGATTTATCTGATTTTCACTTTCTATATTCTTATAGTTTATCTTCAATTCAAACTTAATTTATTTTTACTTTTATCATATATTTATATAAAATTTCACTCTGACCTTTCTTTTTCGTTGAGATCAATCAAATCTATTTTTTAAGTACCTATGTAAATTAATATCATAGAATTTTATTATTAATTTTTAACATATTTAGTATTATTTAATCACCTTTTGTTATTTACCCGTGCATAGCACGGGTTATCACTAGTATTATACTTTTTAAATATATTTATGTTAGGTGTCTAAAAATTAAAAAAATTCATTAAAAACATTAAAATACGAAAAAAAATAAAATAAAATTTTTTGAAAACTGTTTTTTGAAAACCAAAATCAAACAAAGTGAATAGCATTCCTGATAATGTGATTCTCATTCTCTATGAAACCAAAGATTTTTCTTCAATAATCACATCAGGCAGAATAATGTTATATGTACCAATTAGTATACTAATTAGTATACCAATTGATGATGTGACATAATTTAAAAAGTTTTTCGTATTTATAATTTGCATGATGAGTGAGGTCAATAATAATGTCATAACCAATATTAGTATAGTTGTTAGTACATTAATTAGTGCATGTAACACCAACCCATCAGGTATTCAAAGTGCACCCCCAAACAGCAAAATTATTATGGAAACAAAGAAGAACAATATATATATAGTCCACTGATACACGTGTTCTCCATAACTGACTAACCTGAAGAGGAAATGTTTGATCTCAAATTTGCAGGGCTTTGCATGAAAAAGACGAGGCACGCATGTCAAGGGCAAAGTTCTTCCTAATTGCACTATTTTGCAGCTTTTCCTGGTATCTGGTCCCTGGATACATCTTCACAACACTCACAAGCATCTCATGGGTCTGCTGGATTTTCTCCAAGTCGGTCACTGCCCAACAGATTGGATCGGGCATGAGAGGCCTTGGACTCGGAGCACTAACACTCGACTGGACTGCTGTTGCATCCTTCTTGTTCAGCCCTCTCATATCCCCTTTCTTTTCCATTGTCAATGTCTTCCTCGGGTACACCTTGATCGTCTACATTGCAATCCCCATATCCTATTGGGGCCTAGACTTGTACGGTGCTAAAAGATTTCCCATCTTCTCCTCACACTTGTTCACTGCACAAGGTCAGAGGTATAACATATCAGCTATTGTGAACAAGAAGTTTGAGATAGATATGGCTCAGTATCAGCAGCAAGGACGGCTACATCTAAGCATGTTTTTTGCACTCACTTATGGTTTTGGTTTTGCCACAATTGCATCCACTCTTACGCATGTGGGCCTCTTCTATGGAAGGTAAACACTTTATCCAAAGGTGCCTTAGGTACAATATTACTGTCAGCATCACGGCATGACTACATCATTAAAACAAGTTTTTTTCCCCACATTTTTATGAGCTCCAACTCAAATCAAATTTTTGTGTGAATAATTTGTACAAATCCCAAGTTGAGAACATGTATCAATGATAAGAGTAAGATTTTTTATTTTTGGATAGGCAAGAACATAGAAAATGATGAGAACATACAACATATTATCTTGCACAATCCATATCTTATATTTCCTGTGCCTTTTAATCATTACAAACCCAATTAAAACATTCAACACTTTGGCAACTGTTTTTTGCTACAAAAAAATGGAAAACAAAAACAATACCAACAATGGCCTTATGTTCCCAAACCCCAAAAGGCTTTGTGGATTCTCAAGACTCTTTAAATTTCCATTTTTACCCAAATGAGAGTTTTCAAAACTGAACACCATTTCAATAATTTTTATGAACTCTCAGTTTTCCACATGTTCTTTAATGTTATCACATGAAACTAATAACTAATAAGATAAATATATGTTCATACATATATGATTACAAGATCAAGTGAAGGAAGAGAAAAAAGAAAAGAAAAGAAAAAGAAGAGGCACTTTGATATTCATTTTCGGTATTTTTTGACACTTGGATAAGAAATGCATTCATGGTGATTCTACAGGGAGATATACGATCGATTCCGTGCTTCGTACACTGGTAAGGAGGATATCCATACAAGATTGATGAGAAAATACGAGGACATACCTTCCTGGTGGTTTTACGTGTTGCTTGGAGTGACAGTTGCAGCCTCTTTTGTACTTTGCATCTTCTTGAACAATCAGGTTCAGATGCCATGGTGGGGACTCATATTTGCTTGCATCATCGCCTTCATTTTCACCCTTCCAATCAGCATCATAACTGCTACAACAAATCAGGTGCCTGAGCAGTCTCTTTTAGTCCCTTCATTTATGTGTTAGCTTTGCATCATGATAAGTAAATAATGTATCATTTCCTTACCCTGCACAAGCTGAACATGAACTATGTTCTGTTAGTGTAAAACCATTTCAAGCCTCATGGCCAAGAATTCAAAATACCATTTCAGGCCCTGGTAAAATTATATTTAAAAAGTTGTAACAAATAGGAAATCTGCAATTGTTAAAACATTTTTTGTCTCTAAAATCAAAGTTGTGTTATTTTCCTAGACATTGACGTGAAATCTGTTTCCTGTCCCCCCCTAATGCTCTAATATTTTATACGCAGACACCAGGGCTGAACATAATCACAGAGTATGTCATGGGTATTATATATCCAGGAAGACCAATAGCTAACGTGTGCTTCAAAGTCTATGGTTATATGAGCATGTCTCAGGCCGTCTCTTTCCTCAGTGATTTCAAGCTTGGACACTACATGAAGATCCCTCCAAGATCAATGTTCTTAGTTCAGGTAAATTATATTTTCCCTAATATTACTCATATTACAGTTCATAGGAACAATCATTGCGGGTACTGTAAACATTGCAGTGGCATGGTGGCTGCTCAACTCTATTACGAACATATGCCAGGATGATCTCCTTCCAGCTGACAGTCCGTGGACATGCCCTGGTGATCGGGTCTTCTTTGACGCCTCGGTTATATGGGGTCTGGTAGGGCCTAAACGGATTTTTGGAAGCCTTGGAAACTACAGTTCCATGAATTGGTTCTTTCTTGGAGGTGCAGTGGGACCAATTATCGTTTGGCTCTTCCATAAGGCATTTCCCGAGCAGTCGTGGATTCCTCTGATTAACCTTCCAGTCCTTTTGGGAGCAACAGCTTACATGCCAGCAGCAACACCAGTAAATTACAATTCATGGATCCTAGTTGGAACAATTTTCAACTTTTTCATCTTTTGTTACAGAAAGAAGTGGTGGCAAAGGTACAACTATATTCTTTCAGCGGCTCTGGACGCAGGGGTGGCTTTCATGGCTGTGCTGCTATACTTGTCAGTTGGCATGGAGAATAAAAGAATCACTTGGTGGGGCACAAATGGTGAACATTGTGACTTGGCAACTTGCCCAACAGCTAAGGGCATAGTGGCAGATGGTTGTCCAGCGAACTGATGCACTAATTCTTGTATATTATGCAAATTCTTAGCTCAAAATTTCACAGCATAAAATTAGCAAGGCACATGATGGCCAGAAAAAACACAGCACCACATGGGAATTTGTATGTTTCATACAGATTTATTTATTTTTATTTTTCCCAGTTGTGTAAGTTCCATATGGATTTCACTGTTTTATAGTAGGTTTACTTTTGAATACGGATGTTAAACAATCCCCCACTCTCCCCAAAAATAAAAGTATGTAAATAAATAAACAAATCGATAAGTAACTAAAGGTGAACACTCACTCAGCAATTATAGCAAAGGGCATTATGCAAGATGGCTGCCCAATAAACTACTTAACAAATGCTGGTGTATTTCATATGTAAATGGGCTATCATAGAAGCTATCAAGCTAGGAGCACAGTTACGAGCATGAGAAAATCACCTTCTGCATATAATTCAGAAGGTTAGGTTAGTTCCAAATCTACTTCTCCAACGCCCTGCATTGGCAAGACTAGCATTGGGTAATAGCTCAAACACCATGAATTGAACCCCTAAATTCACTTCTCCTTTGTCACACCTATACCACTATGCTACAATGCCCTAGGCACTGATGTAGAAGAACTCAGAGACTTCATTCCCAAGCAAATAATAAGACTTATGTGTGTATAATTAACATCTGAGAAGCATGGACATGGACACGACACGGATACGACACGGACACACTGACACGTTAATTTTCAAAAAATACAGGACACGATACGTAGGGGACATGCATGAAATATATAATTTTATATATTTATTATATATTATATATATAAATATATCATTCAAATATAATATAAAATGCAATATGACACTAATTTCTATAAATTTATATGGGTTTTGTTTTATTATTATATCTTAAATTGTTGTATTCAAGCTTATAATTAATTTCACATGTATCTAATCGATAGACACATGTGTTTAAGTGATTGACACGTGTCCTCCAAGTGTTCAAAGAGTGTTTGGATCTTTAAAAAAAATTTAAAAATAGGACACGTTTTGAAAAGTGTCAGACACGTGTCCTAAGAGTGTCCAAAGTGTGTCGGTGTCCGACACGAACACGACACGGATACGTCACCTTCTTAGAAGTGTCCGTGCTTCTTAGATTAACATGCAGCTTATATTTTTTATTATTATTTTTATTAGCAACAAATATGTTCCATCAAAGTTGAACATTTTTTTTTATACAACAAAAAGGACATTTTTTGAGATACAAAAAGAGGACAAGTAGTCTTCTACATATGCAAACACATCACCAAAAAAAATAAAAGAAGAACAAACAAAGAAATCACTTACAAATCACAAACCGCTCTCCAATCTTTAGAACTAAAAAAACAAAGTGGGAAGAATTGCAACCAAGCTCAATATAAAAAGCACAAGCTGACTCCATTTTCCCAAGAAGCATGATTGGTCATTTCAAAATCACAACGCCCAACTATTATCTTAACTCAAAAAATATAATGGCAAAAACTCCTCATCAGGACATCTACATACATTTATGTAAATTACATATGCATGTATAAATTATATCATTTTGAACCTAAGTGGATGTCTAAATAGTATGAGTGCTCAAAAGAACCAAACCAAATCAACCTTTATGGGTTGTGTAAGTTCAGCTCTAGCATTGGTTCGGTTCAATTCTGGGTCCAAAAATCCCAGAACCAACCAATCGGTTCGGTTCTCTGGTTGGTGACTGTGTAACCTAAACCAACCAAAGAACCGAAAAATTTAAAATCGTACAATTCAATTAACACATCTCAATATTATTGGTTATGATTGTATTATATAACCACACTTATACACATAATCATAAATATAAGAATTGAACAGTCAAGAACTTTTACTGCTTAGAATGAATCTTGTGCTAATTGTTCAACAATCGGATGCTTGGCTGCGCATATATAATGCATTTGGGCGACAAGCTTAACAATCCAGGATCATGCCCATGATGGAGTAAGAATATATCAACTTTTTTCTTTCTTTGGTATTTCCTTCTGTTTTTGATGACATTGTTGTTAGCTATATCCATGTTCAGTTAATCTTTCCTTCTTCTGATTTCATGGTGTCAGTGGCAGTGGCAGTAGTGGGTTGTTTTTCCATTCTGTTTGGAAAGGGGAGGCCTGGTTGGGGGTTTCAATCAATCTTGCTGGTAATTTGAGGCTGTTAAAATCAGTGTACATATATCATATTCAACTCTAATTTCTCCCACACGCATATGTGAAAGCCAAACTAAACCCTCTCATATCCACCAATTAATCATCCTTCTGCCTTTACCCGCTGAACTAGAGAAAGGTGCAGAATAGAAATGTTTTTCATGAGAGCTATATATGATATTCATGCAAAATACATTGACAAAAAAAAAAAAATGCAAGCGATTAATTAATCAAAGAAAAGGAAGATTGAAAGGGAACAAGTAGACAAATGCAATCAGACTGGTAAGTTTTCATTTTATTTTATTTTCACAAGTACCCAGACTGATAAGAAAATGGAGCACAATTGTGAAATCTTTTACTTTCTATTTTTGTCAAAGTGTACAAACGCACACACACAAAGTATAATGTGGCCAATCAAATGTATAGATTGGAACATCTAGGAGTCATTGGCCAACATCCTCCACATTTTTAATGAGAATTTAGTAAGATCATAAGGGGGTAAATTAAATAAAAAATATCATAACATCATTTCTTACACAATTCAAAGGAGTGAAACAATGACATTGATAAACATAAGATAGCTACTGATAAATGAGAAGATATGAGAGAATAAGAGTAGCCGCAGTAACTGACTCTGTAAAGAGAATTGTTTGGGAATTCAGATGACTAGGTACTAGTAGCACAAGTCAGTGGAAATGCTTCCATGGATTACAACATTTAAAGAACCAATTTACTACTGTCTAAAAAGGGTAAATAATGACATACCTTAATGTT